GCCTACTATGCAAGGCCCGATTTGCCTAATAAGCCAAGTTTTCATGAATTATTTGTTTTTCGACTACCTAACCTACCTAACCTAACTTTTTCGGCTACCTAACTTAACCTATAAAGATAGGTTAGGTAGGGTTGGTTAGGTTCGGTCATATATCTACGTTAATTTTAACTCCAATAAAAAGAAATTGACCTTATACATAATGAAATGGGTAGCTTTATCATTTCGTAAGAAAAAAATTACAGAAAATATAATAATTCAGGAAAACTTGGCTTATTAGGCAAATCGGGCCTTGCATAGTAGGCTGAGAAGTGCGTTCTGGCTACTAGGTACGACATATATATATATATATATATATATCTTTTGTGTAATTCCCTAGTGTACACAACAGCTATATCACAGCTCTACTATATTCATGGAACTTATCGTGTTCTACTGATAAGAAACACAAAAGCAGTTTCAATAAATACCATAAAATAAATAATTCTATGCCAGATTTATGAAGAACTGATCCTGTGTTCCATATTGTTATCTAGAACAGAACAGCAATAACAAAGAGGGGAAAGTATATATGAAGAAGGGGCAAATATAGAAATGATGGAGCAAACAGAGAACGTAGCCAGAACGGGAGGAAAGCAACAGGGGAAAGTAAAATAGAAAGTAGCAATGTTCATATACAGAGAGAGAGAACAACAGGAACAGGAGCAAAGAACGTATTGCAGGTGTGCCGTTAACAGACAGGAACAGGTAACCAAGCCAAAAGGGAAAGGAAGGGAAGGAAGAAAAGCAAAATGAGGGAGAGAAAGAGATACGAAGTGAGGGAGAAAATGGAGAGATTAAAGTGGATGAATATATAGAATTAAGGTGAAATTGGAACGTAAAGTTCAGAGGAAGGTTATCTTGAGGTTATCTTGAGGTTATCTTGGTTATCTTGAGGTTATCTTGAGATGATTTCGGGGCTTTTTTTTAGTGTCCCCGCGGCCCGGTCCTCGACCAGGCCTCCACCCCCAGGAAGCAGCCCGTGACAGCTGACTAACACCCAGGTACCTATTTTACTGTTAGGTAATGGGGGCATAGGGTCAAAGAAACTCTGCCCATTGTTTCTCACCAGCGCCTGGGATCGAACCCGGGACCACAGGATCAAAAGTCCAGCGTGCTGTCTGCTCGGCCGACCGGCTCCTTTGGTTTGGAAGGTTACGATAGTGGAGTGGAGAATTGCCAAAGAGATAGAAAGGGGCTAAAGAGGCAGATATATGCCAAACAGACATAAAACTGTTCTAAAGAACAAGAAGAACCAAAAATAAACTTAATTATGATAAAAGAATAAAGACCAAATCACAAAAAGATAAGTTTTAGGATAGGAAACGAGAAGGAGTAGTGAAGATACGTACAAGAGAATGAGAAAGAGAAGAGAAAAAAACAGGGATGGGATGTATGGACGTGGAGGAGAACGCAAAAAAAAACGAAACAAGACTTGGAAGGGGGTTGTGATAAATCAGAGGAGATAGTAGAAAGAGGAGGAGGAAGGGGCTGATAAGATTGATGTGTTCAATACAGATATGACAGCACAACAGAAGGGGGCTGACGGCTGGCTAATGAGAGAAACTAAAACAAAAAAAAAAAAAAAACGAAGAAGGGAAGCAGGAAACAAATGGTAAGAATGGAAGAGGGAAATGACAACGAATTATACATAGAATAAGGATAATAAATAAGGAATAAGGATTATACATAGAATAAGGAACGTAAAGTTCCTTATTCTAATAAATAATTAAGGAATAAGGAATTAAGGGATAATAAATAAGGAATAAGGATTATACATAGAATAAGGAACGTAAAGTTCCTTATTCTAATAAATAATTAAGGAATAAGGAATTAAGGGATAATAAATAAGGAATAAGGATTATACATAGAATAAGTAATGAAGAGAGGAAAACTGAAACAAAATGGAAGACAAGCCTCTTTCGCTTTATCAAGATAATTCAAGGTAATTATCAAAGGGGGGGGTGGGGGGAATTATAAGGGGGAAAGCGGACAAGCCATTAGGACTATATAGCACTGGGAAGGGGGTCAGGATAAGGAGTTGGGGTGGGACAGGGGGGGGGGGGGGGGAATGGTGCCCAACCACTTGTGGACGGTCTGGGATTGAACGCCGACCTGCATGAAACAAGACCGTCGCTCTACCGTCCAGCGCAAGTGATTGGGCAAGAGGCTTACCAAGAACACGAAGCTAAGACAACAAAATTGTGGAGAGGAGAAAGTATAGTAAAAGAAAGGAGGGAGAAAGCACAGTAAAAGAAAGGAGGGAGAAAGCACAGTAAAGGAAAGGAGGGAGAAAGCACAGTAAAGCAAAGGAGGGAGAAAGCACAGTAAAAGAAAGGAGGGAGAAAGCACAGTAAAAGAAAGGAGGGAGAAAGCACAGTAAAAGAAAGGAGGGAGAAAGCACAGTGAAACAAAGGAGGGAGAAAGCACAGTAAAACAAAGGAGGGAGAAAGCACAGTAAAACAAAGGAGGGAGAAAGCACAGTGAAACAAAGGAGGGAGAAAGCACAGTAAAGCAAAGGAGGGAGAAAGCACAGTAAAAAAAAATAGAGAACAAGGTTGTTTGCTGTAATTTGTGTTGATGTCCCCATGATAGATTCTGTACTAGGTACATGTGGGGGAAGCAAAAGACAGTTTGATTGATCTAAGCAAGCAAATCCTAGCCAAAGGGAAGGGGAGGGAAGGGAAGGGGGAGGGGTGAGCTTACCTATACGTGGGGTGTTGCTGCCTGTTTAGGGTAAGCAATGTTAACTTCTCTGCATTTAAATAACAAATGGTTAATGAATTAGAGATCGCTACACGGAAGAGATCACGATAACACGACCTGCATCTCATTTTCCTTTGTAGCGCGGTGATTAAAAGGGGGGGTAACTTTCCTATATTGCCATCCTGGCTAGTGCTGTGTCACGCCTAACTCATATACGGGCTCACCATAGCCCGTGCTACTTGGAGCTTTTTGTTCCAGGTAGCGAATCTTTAACAACAGCCTAACTTATCTCTCCACTATCGCCCCTTTTCCCATAATTAGACCTTACACAGAGATTAATCACACTATCGTCATGCATTAGTCAGAAAATCCGTAGGAGCCGTTATCTTGAGATGATTTCGGGGTTTTTAAGTGTCCCCGCGGCCCGGTCCTCGACCAGGCCTCCACCCCCTAGGAAGCAACCCGTGACAGCTGACTAACACCCAGGTACCTATTTTACTGCTAGGTAACAGGGGCATAGGGTGAGAGAAACTCTGCCCATTGTTTCTCGCCGGCGCCTGGGATCGAACCCAGGACCACAGGATCACAAGTCCAGCGTGCTGTCCGCTCGGCCGACCGGCTCCCTTCACGTTGGTGAAAGTCCAATTAGCAATCGTTTAATATAATAATATATAGCAGATATCCTGCTCTACGTTACAGTAGGTTTTAGATACTGTCTATATGTATTTGTTTACATATTGGAATAACCAATATGTATTTTGTCAATAACAGTCTTAAAAATCATTAATTTTTCGTAAAGCTGCCTCGTATGGGCCAATAGGCCTGCTGCGGTTCTCATTACTGCTATCCCCTACACCTGACTTTCCTCCTCAGCTCTCTCTTGCCTATTTAATGCCTGTCCCTACCTGTCCTCATCACAATCGACTTGAGAATGGTCCAGGACGGACCGAAACGTCGTCGTCTCTTCAATTTCTAGTGTGTGGTCTGGTCAACATACTTCAGCCACGTTATTGTGACTCATCGCCTGCAGCTGCATTCATCATTGGAGCCGGTCGGCCGAGCGGACAGCACACTGGGCTTGTGGTCCTGGGTTCGATCCCAGGCGCCGGCGAGAAACAATGGGCAGAGTTTCTTTCACCCTATGCCCCCCTGTTACCTAGCAGTAAAATAGGTACCTGGGTGTTAGTCAGCTGTCACGGGCTGCTTCCTGGGGGTGGAGGCCTGGTCGAGGACCGGGCCGCGGGGACACTAAAAAAAAGCCCCGAAATCATCTCAAGATAACCAAGATCAACAATATTGTTTTAAAAATCATTATAATTTTTCGTTTAAAAACAATACTTTCTGATATTTGTGAAAATCGGTAATTTTGTAACCAGCTGTATTGATTACCATGCTCAGCTTTGAGCGCCGACAGCGACACAACTGCAAGAGGGATTGCAATCAACATGTGTGCAATATCGACAGAGGGGAAAAAAAGAACAAAGGCAATACATAGTCAATAAGTGTCCCCCCCAAAAAATCAAATCAGACCAGCTGACAACGGCAACGAGACTATTAGAGGTCGACAAAAATGTTTACGACACTGAGATCGTCCAGAAAGGGGCGTCCGAAAAACATGACTATACCCCGTTCAGAAAGGTGGATGTCCGAAAAACATGACTATAGCCCGTTCAGAAAGGTGGGGATGTTCGAAAAACATGACTATACCCCGTTCAGAAAGGTGGGAATGTCCTAAAAACATGACTATACCCCGTTCAGAAAGGTGGGGATGTCCTAAAAACATGACTACACCCCGTTCAGAAAGGTGGGGATGTCCGAAAAACATGACTATACCCCGTTCAGAAAGATGGGGATGTCCTAAAAACATGACTATACCCCTTTCAGAAAGGTGGGGATGTCCTAAAAACATGACTATACCCCGTTCAGAAAGGTGGGGATGTCCGAAAACTATAACCAACCCCCCACCCCCATTTCAGAAAGGTGAGGTCGTCCGAAACTATGACCAACCCCCTTTCATAGTGATGTGGGTCGTCTACTAACAATGGCTGCCCTCTTCAGAAGGGGGTTCTGGGAGACCTATGACGAACAACAACAAACTCTGTCATATAGATATGAACAAGCAGTCAAAATAGGAGTGCAGAAATAGCCTAAGCTACTCTAATCCCTTTGAGATGTACTTCTTGTCTCAATAAACATTCTTGAACTTGAGCTGTCGAAATAGCCTCCAATGGTGACTGGAACACCACTGTAGCGTGTAACTAGCGTGAACGCATCCCAGCATAGCTAGAAGATCGTGAACGCATCCCAGCATAGCTAGAAGATCGTGAACGCATCCCAGCGTAGCTAGAAGATCGTGAACGCACCCCAGCATAACTAGAAGATCGTGAACGCATCCCAGAATAGCTACAAGATCGTGAACGCACCCCAGCGTAGCTAGAAGATCGTGAACGCACCCCAGCATAGCTAGAAGATCGTGAACGCACCCCAGCGTAGCTAGAAGATCGTGAACGCATCCCAGCGTAGCTAGAAGATCGTGAACGCACCCCAGCGTAGCTACAAGATCGTGAACGCACTCCAGCACAGCCATAGGAGATCCCAAATGCTCTTCAACAATAAAAGCGCTGGTGCCACATCCAAAACACGGAGGGTCGTCATACTACAGCAAGGACGACCCCTGGAGGCTCTCTTGACAAGAGGTGAAATACACCCAGGCCGACCTGGGAGTATACAGGGTGTATAAGAGGTATACTACCTTACGCATGTTTAATTTACTCGTGATCTCACGTATTAATCCTTCCCCCCCCCCCCTCTCTTTCTCTTCCTCCTCTTTTCTTACCTCCCTCTCCATTTTCCCCCTCCCTCATCTCTTCTATTTTCTCTGCTCGCTCGGTTATTCTCCTTTCTCTTCCATTTCTTTCTTTATCTGGCTGTGCTGGCTTCTCCTCCTCATTTGTCTCCATCTCTACTCATACTCTTAAATCCTCTTCCTTCTCATTACTTCTTCTTTCTCTTCTTCTCTTAAGGTTTCCTGTCCTCTTTCTCCCCTTATTCGCTCTCTCTCTCTCCTTTCCCCCTTCCCTCTTTTACTAGTATCCTTTCTTCCCCTTCCCTTTCGCTACCCTTCCCCTAATATACATGCAAATCTGACACGCATAAAATACATTTCAAAGATATATGTGCCATGGTAAGCTTACTGTAACAAATGTATTATGGGTAAGCTTACTGTGTTAAATGTATTATGGGTAAGCTTACTGTGTTAAATTTATTATGGGTAAGCTTACTGTGTTAAATTTATTATGGGTAAGCTTACTGTGTTAAATTTATTATGGGTAAGCTTATTGTTAAATTTATTATGGGTAAGCTTATTGTTAAATTTATTATGGGTAAGCTTATTGTGTTAAATTTATTATGGGTAAGCTTAGTCTGTTAAATTTATTATAGTAAGCTTACTGTTATAAATTAAGGTTAGCTTACTATGTGAATTTATGATAAGCTTACGATCTCAAAATGATGTTATGGTAAACTTGCTGGAGCACATTGATGTATCGTAAGTTTATTGTACAAAATCTGACCCAGGAACGGATGTGACAAAAATTTTAACAATGGGTGAACGAGGCGGACCTCTGTATAAAGTTACGGAAAGTCGAGTTGACGAGAAATTTGCACACACACAAGTCACTTTTTCTGAAATTTTGGAATGTTGCTACAGTGTTGTTCGTGGCGGGTGGTGTATAGTGCTGGTTGATTAATGCTCTGGTATAGTGACCGAATTAGCCCTGTGTAGTGTTATGCAGTCTATATTGATGTGGCATTAAACAGCAATGAATAATATCCCTGTCGTAGCTCAGTCGATTAAGGCAGTGTCTGGGATGCTCTCGGACGCAGGTTCGAATCTTCGTCATGGCCCTTGTGGATTTGTTCATTTGATGCATCACGTTAGTGTGATCTCTGTGTGTGGGATAATATACCTTCTCCAAGGGATGGATTAGTAGCCTATGAGTCTAGTCTGTCAACGTTTCAGTACTTGTCCATACGTTTATCAACAGGATGAAGTTTTTAGTCCTTACACTTGATGCGGCTCCCCTAGCATGTTGATGTGTGTTGATGAAATTCCTGTGCTCCAATAATGCCACGAGTGTTGTCGGGTGTTGGGTGGAAGTAGGTCTCGTGACATCCCAATACCTTTAGATAGTTGTTGCTGGCAGAGTGGTTACAGCCATGTCGTACCTAGTAGCCAGAACGCACTTCTCAGCCTACTATGCAAGGCCCGATTTGCCTAATAAGCCAAGTTTTCAAGAATTAATGGTTTTTTGACTACCTAACCTAACCTAACTTTTTCGGCTACCTAACCTAACCTAACCTATAAAGATAGGTTAGGTTAGGTAGGGTTGGTTAGGTTCGGTCATATATCTACATTAATTTTAATTCCAATAAAAAAAAATTGACCTCATTCATAATGAAATGGGTAGCTTTATCATTTCATAAGAAAAAAATTAAAGAAAATATATTAATTCAGGAAAACTTGGCTTGTTAGGCAAATCGGGCCTTGCATAGTAGGCTGAGAAGTGCGTTCTGGCTACTAGGTACGACATATATATATATATATATATATATATATATATATATATATTAGTATATTTTGGTAGCAGTCTTTCCTGTAGACATATATTATTAAATATGACCGAAAAAGTAAGATTAATAATTCTAACACGAATTTTCTCAATCTTTCGTACATTACGCTTCACTGTTGGAGGTAAATCAAAAATCACTTCTCCAAAGAAGAAGAAATAAAAACTAGAAATAAAAATGAATTTTGGAGAAGTGATTTTTGATTTACCTCCAACAGTGAAGCGTAATGTACGAAAGATTGAGAAAATTCGTGTTAGAATTATTAATCTTACTTTTTCGGTCATATTATAATATATATATATATATATATATATATATATATATATATATATATATATATATATATATATATATATATAATGTCGTACCTAGTAGCCTGAACGCACTTCTCGGCCTACTATGCAAGGCCCGATTTGCCTAATAACCCGAATAATTTTCTTTATTTTCCATAAATTGTTTCCAATTGGTTTATTTGAATTATATTATACTAGGAACATAATTTATTGACTTAGTTTATCAAGAAATGTTTGCTAGATATTTCCAACTCTTCAAAGATTTCGATCAATCCGACTGTGTGTTCCCTGGAATCCTACAAAAATTATTTCCATTAATCCGACCTGATTTCTTCGTATCCTTTAAAGATTTCGATTTATCCAACCACGTTTCTTTTAATCTTAAAAATATTTCCAATTATCCGACCCAGATTTCCTCGTAGCCAACACCAATTTCATTTAACCATTCCGGGTTATCTCGTTCTCTGGTATATAGGGTTTTATTCCGACGTTATTTCCTTCCCGGCCAAAATTTACTCCCCGGCCAAAATTTACTCCCCGGCCAAAATTTACTCTACCGGCCTACTCCACGAGGCTACAATACGAGCCAATTCTACAGAACTTGAAATAATTACATCATTACCATTTGCTTTTATTACCAGTCCGCTATTATTAACGCCAATAACAACAGTTATTTATAACAACACCATGAATTACAACAACGAGATTGATTTCAAAAATGCAATTAAAACAGGGAAAAAAATCTGTAACCTTCAGTTAAAATAAAATAAAGTGCGTTTGATCCTTCAGCATTCGGGAAGCTCATATCTGAACATTAGGTATTTTTCGGCTCCAGCGTTTAATGCTGCCTTGGGCAGTGGAATGATGAAAAGGAATTTTGTATAATCCCACCAAAAACAGGGCCCGACCATCTGTTTTTCCGCTGGGAAATTAAACAAGATATTTTTGGGGGTTTTCAATTTTTTTTTTACGGAAAAGTTGATATTTTGCATAATTTTTTGGGGGGTATTATTTGGTATAGTTATCATAATTTGTATGATAAGGAATTATTTTAATAATTATTAGTTATTATTATTATCGGTAGTTGTGATTCGAGGTCATTTATACAACTGCTCTTTCTTATCGCAATGGTGAATGCTGAATTAATAATGGATACATTTTAAGAAGTAGACATTTCATCTATTTTCGAGGTATACATCACGGTAACGTAGACAGCGTCTACTTAATGAGGTAGACATATTCTACCTGTGGCTCCTAACCCACAGGTATTGTCTCTCATTGGGAGAAAAATGTCAGTGTTAATATCTTACTGAAATACGATTCTTGAACAAGAGGTAACATGCAGTGACTGTAATAAGGGAGAATATGATATGGCTGTTAAAAGGGAGAATATGATATAGCTGTTAAAAGGGAGAATATGATATGGCTGTTAAAAGGGAGAATATGATATGGCTGTTAAAAGGGAGAATATGATATGGCTGTTAAAAGGGAGAATATGATATAGCTGTTAAAAGGGAGAATATGATATAGCTGTTAAAAGGGAGAATATGATATGGCTGTTACAAGGGAGAATATGATATAGCTGTTATAGGGAAGAATATCTCATCCAAGTATTATATAGTCGTAATGTTATAGTGCTCTCTCCTGATATCTTAGACTTGCAAGTTCCTATCCAATAGTCAGATATCTGTGATCTTCCTCTCTGGAATAAACGTGGGATATCTTCTCCCGTTTCCCATTTTCATTCATAGTTCCCATTTTCTTATATAGTTTTCCAATTTCATTCATAGTTTCCCATTTTCGTTCATAGTTTCCCGTTTTCATTCAGATTCCCATTTTCATTCATAGTTCGTATTTTCTTTCATAGTTTCCCGTTTTCATCCAGTTCCCATTTTCATTTATTCCCATTTTCTTTCATAGCTTCCCATTTTCAGTAAGTTTCTTATTACTAGTGGTTACCTTCTGCCATTTGCTGGTCTTTCTGGTGTTAAAGGACCCTACAGGGGCAGCTGTGTGTCTCTCTCTCTCTCTCTCTCTCTCTCTCTCTCTCTCTCCCTCCCTGTCTCCCTCCCTGTCTCCCAGTTTGATGTGTAAAAGGTGAAGGTCGCAACCAGTAACCAACCCTGCCTAAAATAAAAAAGGGTTGGTTGCTCAAAGGTCGGCGGCATCCAGCAACAGTTTAATTGGTCACCAGCGAGGAACTATAGTGCTGTACACAGTGCACTTTCTCCCACCTTTGTCTCTCACTTTCCTCCCCACCTCTTGCCCACAACATTTCCCCCATTCCCTGTACACTTTCCCCTCCCCCACTACGATTCCCACGTCCCCCTCTCTCTCCACCCTACCTCCCCCCCTCTCCCCCTAGTACTATTTCCCCTTCTACTCTTGCCCCCCTTCCCGACTACTCTTCCCTCCTGCTAATCCTATTCCTCCCTTCCCCCCCCCACCTTCTTACCCCTCCCCCCCACCTTCTTACCCCTCCCCCCCTCCACTACTCTTCCCTCTTCCCCACCACAATTCCCACCTCTCCCCACCACTATTTCCCCGTTCCCTACTATTCTTCCCCCTCCCTTTCTCTACTCCCCGTGAGAAATATGGGTAACCAGGTTTTGATTCTTAGGGGGGGGGGGTGGGGGTTGAATGGGGGGTGGGTTGAAGAGGGGGGGGGTTGAGGGGGGGGTCAGGTGGACCACCTCAGGCATTTGCTAATAAAGTTGAAGCCTGCTTTACTCCCCTTTACCGCAGGGTAATTAAGCCTCCCCCCCTCGCTTACACAGCTTCTCTTTCTCCGGTTTCTCTGGTGAATGCGCGTACGCACGCTACGCACGCACGTGCGCGCAAAACACGCTCATACGCACGCATGGACGTACGAACGTACGCACGCACGCACCCTCTGGCTTATTTAATACCCTTATTTCTTTGACGCTGTCTTTAATTCCACGTCTCTCTCTCTCTCTCTCTCTCTCTCTCTCTCTCTCTCTCTCTCTCTCTCTCTCTCTCTCTCTCTCTCTCTCTCATTATTGGATGGCTACCTCTCC